CCAGTTGCGCAAGCTTTTAAACAAAACCATCCTGACGCGACGGTTTTTGTTGACAACTGCAATGTGATTCTTAGGTAAATAGCCAACAGAAAAATACAATTTACTCTTTCCTATAGGTCATATCTTGTGCTGGGATCAGTTGGTTGAGATTATTAATGACAGGGCTATAATGGAGAAATGTGGAGATGTGGATGATTGTATCTCTACTGTGGAGGCAGCTGAACTTGCAGCTAAACTTGATGATAACCAGAAGAGTACTCTGCCACTGCCTGGTCAAGTGGATTTCATCAACGGAGGGCCTCCATGCCAAGTATATCTTTATATTGTTGTTATACATTTTCTATAAGTTTTGTGGAATAAGTGAAAAGCTTCTTAATGATTTGGAAAATTTGGCAGGGGTTTTCTGGTATGAACAGGTTCAGTGACCGCTCTTGGAGTAAAGTCCAATGTGAAATGATATTAGCATTCTTGTCTTTTGCTGATTATTTCCGGCCAAAGTATTTTCTTCTCGAGAACGTGAAGAAAATTGTATCTTTCAATAACGGGCAAACATTTCAACTTACTATCGCTTCTCTTCTTGAAATGGGATACCAAAAATCATAATCAAAACCCAAACTTCGAAACCAAAAATCATAATCAAAACCCAAAATTCGAATTAAAACCCAAAATCAAAATCGATTTCACAATTGAAACAATATATGTGCCAGACTTCGACATGCATGTTAACTAAGTGTAAGAATGAAAACCCAAAATCAAAATCGATTTTGAATTTGGAATTCAAAATCGATTTCACACAACCCCAAATCAAATTGGTTTTCCAGAGAACAAAGAAATTAAACGGCTCAGATCAAATGAGAACATACCTGTTCGAGATCGATAGAAACCGACTTAGATCGAGAGGGAGATGAGTTGAAGATTTTTTTTGTTCTCTGTTAGAGAAGTCGAGTGAAGTCGAGAGAAGAAGTTAGATTTTTTTTTTGCTTTAGGGAAAAAATGAAAAAGTTTTCTTTTATTTTGCCTTAGACAAAATTTCACAATTTTCCCTCTTAACATTTTCAATAGCGGGAAAGAGACTTTAGTAACCCGAAAATTGGCCGCGTGAATTGCATATATCCCGCTTCAATCATTTATAGCGTTTACAATTCAGAAAC